TGTCGCCCACCGCCTCCCGCAGCTGCCGCAGCCCCTTGGTCAGCTCGACCACGCGGGTGTCCAACACGTGCAGACGGACGTGCAGCTGGTGCAGGCCTGTGTCTAGGCCGGCCAGGCGCCCCACTGCAGACGGACAGGGCGCACGTTGGATGGGGACCCTGGGGTCGGCATCAGGGGAGCGGAGGACCTGGAGGAACAGGGACCTATGGCCTCTGGGGGCCGAGTTTGTGGGATGGGAGTTGGGGGACTCAGGAGTCCTGGAATGTCGGTGGCCCCGGGCCTTTTTGGGAGGCAAGGCCGGGACCCAGAGCTCATAGGGTTGTGGGCGAGACGGGCTGGGCCGTGAACAATTGAAAGTTTCCCCCGGTAGCGACAGGACGGTTCATTTTGGTGCAAATGATGGTGGAGGCCTGGCGGGCAGGGCAGACCTAATGATAACTCACGGATGTAAGTGATGGCGTCCTCCGGGGTGGGAGAGGGGCTGGGGCTGGAGGAGGGGGTCGGCGTTGCTTCCTCCTCTTCTTCCTCCTCCTGCTGGCCCTCCTCAGTCTCCGAGGCCCCTTTGTCTTCAGGGGTTCCCTCAAGATTGTCGTCCCCCCTCAAAGTGGGCAGCCCCAGGGCCTCCTGTAAATGCTGAGGCAGGGAAGGGATGGCCAGGGCCAGCCCATCGCCCCATTCTGACTCCCCAGATGCTCCAACCACCCCCTCTCCAGCTGCAATCTGGCTCACTGCCCTCGAGTCCCTCCTGTGAGCCCATCGCCCCCATCCTCTGGGCCTCTCCCATCCCTCCCGCTGGCCCAGTTCCCTGATCCTGCAACAGCCCCTCCCAAGGCCATGCTGGCCGCGGTCACCATCCCCCAGCCACTCACCTTCAGCATCAGGGCCTCCCTCTCCCGCTCCTCCTCCTGGGCGCCTCCCCAGCCCCCCTCCCACTCCCTCTCGGCTCCTCGAGCCCCGTGGCTGAAGCCCAGGAGCTGGGGGACCACCAGGGCCCCAAGGAGCCAGGCTGCCTGCATCAGGGCGGGCTCGCAGCACCCAAGGCTGCGGACAAATGTCTCTGAGGAGGGGGTGTCTCTGGGGACTGGAGTGTGTCCAGATCACTTGCCCCCGGTCCCCACCTCTCCCAGCTCCTCCCTGGTCCCTCTCCTCCCAGCTCCTGTCTCTGTTCTTGGTCTCAGTTCCTCGATGTGTGTCTCTCCCCGCCTCTCTTGGCTCCCCTGAGGCCCTCCCTGCCTCTGTGGCCGGAAACCTCCAACGTTCCAAAGCCTGGATCCCGCCCTGGGTCTCCCCTCACACCCCCCTCTTCCCACTTTCCAGAGCTCACTCCGCCCCGTTCTTTCCTTCTGCCCGGCCCAACGCCCTGATGGGCAGGAGGAGCACGGAGCTAGCTCTCCAAGGGATCCTGCAGACACAGCCTCTACCAGGGACCCCCTCAGGGGTTTGTTGGGCTGGGACCCTGCACCCCACCCCTCTTCCCCCCCCCCAACCCTGTGTCCCTCCCCCCCCCTCTTCCCCCCCCCCAACCCTGTGTCCCTGGCCACTCCTCACAGGGGGGGGACTGCGGGGTCTCTCCAAGGTTATTACCCTGCTGAACGAGGCTTTCCCACCATTCTCAGGCTTTAGGGCACCCTCTCCCCCAGATCTCCCATCCCACCCTCCACACTCTTGCCCCAAGATGCAAGTTGAGTGTGTGGGACACATATGAGGAGCATGCGTGTGGTTGTGTGTGCAGCCCAGGAGGCCGGCCTCTGGGATTCATTTCCCATACATTTTTCTGGAAGCCTGCAGACCAGGCCCTTCCTTGGTGACTGGGGACTCCAGACAGGCAGACAGACCCCGTCCCACTGGGTGAGGGGCTAGGGCTGAGGGGAGGGAGGAGGATGGGTGATGTGGGGAGGGGGGTGGTCAAGGATGCTTTCTCCAGGAGGTGGAGCGGACAGGTGCTGGGCTGGGTGCCTACAGAGCTCTGAGCAGTCAGCGAGGTTCCTCTCCAGCCTGGACCACTGCAGTTGCCTCCTCCTGCTCGCCCCCTCCTTCCTCCCTAGCCCCTCCAATCCACGCTGCTTGCCGCAGCCAGAGCAATGCTTCCAAACTGTAAATCAGAGCCTGTCACTCCCCACTCCCCTGCTCCCCCAGCTTCCCATCACAGGCAGAGGAGAAGCCAAACCCTGCCCTTGGCCAGGGTCTGGCCAGCCCCGCAGGGGGCCAGGGAGGGCGGGTCCTCTGCAATCCTGCAAGCTCATCACCCCCACGCCCCTGCCCCCTAGGATCCAGCCACACTGGAGTGTGGGTAGCCTCTTGGCTATTTCCTGAATGCTGAGCTCCTTCCCACCTCCTAGCTTTCGCACTAGTCTTTTCAGCCTTCTAGAACAAGGCTCTGTGGCTCAGCCCCTTCTCATTCCCAAAATCTCAGCCCTGAGAGGCCTTTCCTGACTGTTTTATCTAAAGAAGCTTTGCTCCTGCCCCAGCTGGTTTGGCTCAGTGGATAGAGTGTCGGCCTGTGGACTGAAGGGTCCTGGGTTCAATTCCAGTCAGGGGCACATGCCTGGGTTTTGGGCTTGATCTCCAGTAAGGTGTGTGTAGGAGGCAGCAGAACAATGGTTCTCTCTCATCGTTGATGTTTCTATCTCTCCCTCTTCTTTCCTCTCTGAAATCAATAAATATATATTTTTTTAAAAGAAGAAGCTTCACTTCTGCAAATTATTTTATTAAAACACCCGCTTTGATCTTTTCAGTATACTCAAGACTGGCGTTGTCTGGTTTGTTTGGTTGGTTGGTTGTCGTCTGTCTCCTGCCAATGAAGGCAGGGGTTCCTGTTTATTGCCGGATCCCCAGAGCCAGAACAGGGCCAACCTAGCACATAGTAGGTGCTCAGTCAGGTGCCGAGTGAGAAAGGAAGTAGCACCACAGTAACTTAGCCCCTCCATGGGAAGCTTGACTGTTGTGCTCAGATGGCACCCTGAGGCCCAGGCAGAGGGGCATGGGAAAGGGTCGGGGCGGCCAGGGTGGACGAGGTGGTGAGGGCAGAGGGAGAGAGGACGCACAGGCAAGAGAAGCAAGAGGCCAGGCCATGGCCACTCTGTGCCAGACTCGTGACTCATGCAGGGCTTTCCCACATTTGGCCTGGCCGGTGGTGCCAGCAAGCATGGAGCTCACCGGCCAGGGCCCACTCTTCAAGGGAGGAAACCAGGCTCAGAGAGGGGACAGCAGCCCGCCGGAGGTCACCAGCATGCAGGCAGCCGGCCAAGGCTTCTGGCTCTACGCGAGAGCAGGGCGCCCCTGCCCACGGCTGCTGGGAGCCCCAGGAGGGGCCTTGGAAACCAAGGCGCCCAGGCTGCCCTCTTCCAAGAAAGCAGAGGGCAGCGTGACCTTGGGCAGGCTGCTGCCACATCAGAGCCCGAAACCTCCCCGGTGCCCCTGAGGGTTCCCAGGACCCCTCCCCAGCAGCTACAGGCCTCCAGACGTGACACACAGACCGGGACAGGCCTTGTAAACTGTAGACGGGCGCACAGCCTCTCTCGCTGACGGCACCCCCCGGGCAGCTGTTCTCTCCCAGGGCCCAGCTGCTCACCACCTGGGTCGCTGGCTGGGGGTGCACCAGAGGGGGGCCTCCCAGAGCTGGGCCGGCACCTGCTGCAGCTCCAGCAGAGGCACCCGGAGCCCGCAGCTGGAGATGCCTCTGGAGGCTACTGCCCGGCACCACGGGCGCCTGTGCCTGGCTGGTGGCCCCGGGGGTGCTGTTGGAGCTGGGAGAAGGGGAGAAGGCTGGGCTCTGGAGGCGATTTCATGGAAGCCCTGACTCTGTGGGTGCAACAGGGGGTGGGGGCACCAGCCAGCTGAGCTGTGAGAGAGAATATGCAGCCATGGTGAACAATAGGGGTGTGCGTGAAGACTTTGAGCCTCTGAGCCCGCACCTACCTGTCCCCGATCCCTGGCACCACCTGGGTGGCCTTGGGTAGGTTGCTTGGCCTCTCTGAACCTCAGTTTCCCTCTCTGGAAAACGGGGGTGGCGACTGTCCCTACCTGGCCCAGGGATTGGTGGGAGAAGTCCAACCCCGGAGTAAATCCAGACCGGAGCCCGGCACACAGGAAGTGCTCCCGAAATGCCAGCATTCATCAGGCAGGGCAGCTGTGGCCCGGTGCCCGCATCCAAACGGGCGTGGGCACCCCTGGGTGGTGGAGGGTGAGGTAGGTGGGTGGGTGGGTGTGATGGGGGACGCAGGCACACGTCTCCCTACC